GTGCGGGGTCAGCAGAGCTCATTTGCATTTAAAGCGGCATGCAAGAAACAGCTTGTTCTGAAAAGAGCTGTTTTTGACGGGGTAAAAACTGTTGTTGTTTTACACTACCATTGAGAAATTTTAACCAAACTATGTTACAGACTTTTCATTAAGACCCTAAAGAATCATATCAACTTGTGGAAAATTGGCATCCTTTGACCCCTTTAAATCATTAATAATTCATCAATGCACTCACTGCACTCTTCCAGCTAATTAGAGGCTTAACTCAATAAATATTTTGTACAGTGTGGATATTTTTTGTACTTATTAATTATTATTATTATTATTATTATAAAACAAAAGTTTTAAACAGGTCACAGAGTTGCAAAATAGCAAACCTTGTATGACATGAATGAAGTAAAAGAAAACAAACTTGGACTTTTTTTAGAATTTTAGGCCCTATTTTGTACTACTGAAGCTCTTTCATAATATTATTTTACCTCTGTTTCAGGTTAATAACAATGGGCATTTGACATTTGATGGGACTCTTTCACAGTCGAGACCCGGTTATTTACAGACACAAATCAACAGAGAAATTATTGCTCCACTTTGGACAGACATGGACAACACTGTCGGTGGAACAATCTCCTATCGTCAGGTCACCAGTGGTGGACTCTTACTAGCAGCCTCAAACAACATAAACCAGTATTTTCCTAATCTGAACTTCACTGCCTCATGGCTGTTCATTGCCACTTGGAATAAAGTACCATACTTTGCCAGCTCACAGTCGGTAAGCTATCTGTCACTCACATCAGATAGTTTCTGAAAGACTTTTGGAATTTTTGTCTTCCAAGTATTATTAAAGTAATTTCATGTGGTATCTTAACATGCTTAATTTTAACATCTTTTGGTGCTATAAACAAGAAGTTGGTCTTTAGTGCTGGGGAAAGTGACTCTTACATGTAATGTATTACAATATTGATTACTTGAGTCTGTACAGTAGAGGGTGCAGCTCAAACAAACTTTCCAGCTGTGCTGCCATTCTGGATTTCAAGAAGAATAGGATGTAGGAAAAAAAAATGCAACACTCTTCAGTAATAAAAAAAAGAAAAGATTGTTATGGTTATCTGAAGCAGGGGTGTCCATTCCTGCTCATGGAGGGCCGGTGTCCTGCAGAGTTTAGCTCCAGCCCTAATTAAACACCTGAACCAGCTAATCAAGGTCTTACTAGGCATACTAGAAACTTTGTGACAGATGTGTTGAGGCAAGTTGGATCTAAACTCTGCAGGACACCGGCCCTCCAGGACCGAGTTTGGACACACCTGATCTAAAGTCATTTTTGCTTATTAGTATGATTGAATCGCATGACTCCCTGTTTGGCATTAATGATCAAGACGTGAGTGAGGATGATCAGGGGGATAAGTCAAAGTCTTCTGTTAATGATAGAGACTCTGCACAGCCTGATATTGTCCCTCAAATTCTTAGCGCTGCAAGAATTTTGGAGTTGGAAACAAAGACTGAAACTCAAACAGCGTTGGTGAGGCAAGGGGTGTGGGCAGGGGTCTCTTAGTCCCAACCTTCTGTTTCGATCCCTGTTACTGAGGATTATTCACAGATGTTAAGCAAGGCCTGGAATAATCCTA